GATTACCTCACCCGGAAAGAGCGCAACGATAATACCAACATTGGCCCGTGAAGTGACGTCCTTCACAACTAGACTGAAGAACAAAAAAGGACAGCAACTTGTCTGCTCCCCTTCCCCAATTCCCCAATGCTGTTCTCCTCCCGCAATTCCCTAATAAAAATTAAAAAAAAATAAAAAACAAAATGGGCAGAGGACCTGAACAGAAACTTCTCCCAAGAAGACATATAAATGGCCAACAGATATATGAAAAATGCTCAATTTCACTAGCTATTGGGGAAATGCAAATCAAAACTACAATGAGATACCACCTCACACCTGTCAGAATGGCTATCATAAACAAAACAAGTAACAAAAAGTGTTGGAGAGATTGTGGAGAAAAAGAAACGCTCATACACTGCTGGTGAGACTGTAAATTGGTACAGCCACTATGGAAAACAGTATGGCAGTTCTTCAAAAAATTAAGAATAGAATTACCACATGACCCAGCAATCCCTCTCCTGGGTATCTACCCACAAAATCTGAAAACATCCATAAAGACATATGTGCTCCGATGTTCATTGCAGCATTATTTATGGTGACCAAGACATGGAAACAACCAAAGTGTCCTGTGATAGGTGATTGGATAAAGAAGAATAGACTACTACCCTGCCATAGAAAAGATGAAATAGTGCCATTTGTGACAACATGGATGAATATTGAGATTATTATGCTAAGCAAAATAAGTCAGAAAAAGCCAAGAACCATATGATTTCACTCATATTTGGGATATAAAACTAAAAGCAACAAAGGAACAAGACAAACAAAAACTCATAGACACAAACAATAGTTTAGTGGTTACCAGAAGGTAAGGGAGGAGGAGGAATGGTAGAAGAGAATAAAGGGGATCAAATACATGGTGATGGAAGAGCTGACTGCGTGGTGAGCACAATGTGATATATAGATTATGTTCTATAGAAATGTGCATTTGAAACCTGTGTAACTTTACTAACCATTGTCACCCAAATATAATTTTTTAAAAAAATTTTTATTGAAAAAAAATTTTTTATTGGGGAACAGTGTGCTATTCCAGGACCCATCAGCTCCAAGTCAAGTAGTTGTTTCAATCTAGTTGTGGAGGGTGCAACTCAGTGGCCCATGTGGGGATCAAACCAGCAACCTTGATGTTATGAACACTGCACTCTAACCAACTGAGCTAACCGACCACCCCATAAATATAATTTTTTTCAAAAAAGATCTTGCATGTAAATAGACAAACAAAAAAAATCATTAATTATATCTGCAAAGACCCTTTTTCCAAGAAAAGTAGCATTCACAGGGGCTAGGAATTGGGATATGGGCATATCTTTTTGGAAGCCACCATTCAATGCAGTATACCACCAATCTCTTTATTTCATAGATTAAGTTTACATTTTCTAGAATTTTATATAAATGNTGTTCATGGGAGCACAAGCTCCATCCTCCCAGACCAGAACGTCTCACTAATGCTAGCTGAACCACAGGCGTTGTTTGACATCTTAATTAAGCAGAGATTTTTTTTTTCCTTTACAAAAACTCTTTTGTTTTTAAATATGGGAATAAAATTCCTTTTCAATGAAGGCATTGCTTCTGGTTTTGGTTACTGATTCTGAAAATATTAGAGAAATGGTTCTTTAATTTATTCTTCTACTTGTTTTCAGGGAGATGGCTGGGTTTATCACAAACCCCTTTGGAAAATAATACCAACAACACAACCAGCAGAGTGACACACACTAAGACTCGACCAAATGAAATCCTTCTCTGTTTACCCTAACCCTCCCAGAATGGAGTTGTTGCACTGAGTGACCTGCTTCCTGATTGCAGACTGAAACTAGCTAAACATGAATGTACCTATTAGGGCACCACAGGACTGCAGCGAGACCAAAGTGTTGAAGAAGCACTATGGACCTCTCACCGACCTGTTCATGTGATGTGAGCAATATCATCTTAAAACCTTTCACCTGACTTGTTAGATGATTAATCTTTTATCCAGTTCCTGCTCCTAAAGCTCAATTTGAATCCCCTATTTTTGCATCGGGGCAGCAGATACCAGTGAGAACTCAATGATTTTGATTTCTTTATAGTGAAAAGTGAAGTCTGTTTCAGAGTCTGTGCTTTGCTTTCTGTCAGTAACTGAAGTATTCACTACTCTTATAAACAAACCAAGAGGAGGAGGAACACGACCCAGAAGTGGATTCAGCCATTGTGCCTGAAATCAGTGTTAAAAAAAAATCAACCAGGTTGTAGTGACAAGGCATTCTATCCCCTCAAAGAGACTGTGCCTGTGTCTGAGGATCTTATCCATTATCCACCTCTGTTGGAACTCTCTTTTAAAAAGCATATTTATAAATTGATTCGAATTATAACCATGGAGAATTTTTTCTTCTGAGCATTTTAATATACTTGAAAACAACATTGACTTGAAAAATTTAAGAACATTTTTCAGTACCTAGTTTTATTAAATACTACACTTGAGAGACAATTTTTTAAAATGTGTTCATGTCAATATGATGAGATTTTGGCCTTTCTCAAGAAGTGAGGCATTAAAGAACATAGCAAATATTAAAAAATAAAACTGTTACCTTTTTCCTTACCGTTTTTTCACTTGTAGGTTAATATCCAGTATTATGTATTATCCCTCTGGATAAGTATGCTTGTCTTACCTCTGTTCACTCAAAATTTAAAACAACTTCATATTTGTCAGTAATTCAGAAGTTATATATGACAGAGAGTGTGTACAGTATGGTTTTATTTTCTTTTCAAGGAAACGCAAATACTGAAGAAAGAGTAGGAGATAAAAAGATACCAGGAAGTTGTATTCAGGTACAAATCTTTTTAAAATTAGTATTTTATTTAGGTTGAAGAACTTCTGGCAACTAAAAGAATAGTGCTAATTATGGCTTTCATCATTCATTCAAGTATTTATTGAGTACCTACTTCTGGTGCTCAACACTTGTTACTGCAAGCTACCTTAATTTTCCAAGAGTGGTGCCTTATTCTGTTTCTTCTGATGTGGTCTTCCAATCAGTGTGTATAACATACCTGTTATTCATCAGCCATTGCAGGTGGCTATATCGGTTATATCATCATAAGAAATTTAAGCTTTGTGTTCTGATAATTGTGTTTTATTGAAGGGGTTAATAGGACGAAAACAGCAAAACAATTTCTGCAACAAATTGTAAATTATAAGAAAATAATTGGTTTATGTACAACCATTTTAATGATTCTGTTGTTCGTTTTTGCTGTGAAATGCACTGAAAAAATATCAAAGTGAGTTATAGTTCATGTGTTGGGAAGATTGAAAAATAATAAAACTAGAGGACAATGATGCCTTTGTCTTTTTTATGAATGGAGAAAAATAGAAAGTTTATATTTTAGTGGAGTTCTTGCCCTGTTCATGTAGGAGAGGCATTCATTTCCTCTTTAAATACTTATCTTTAGGAATCTCTTAGAGGAGAGATAAATGAGTAAATTTAATAAGTTTAAAATTTTTTATGAAAAAGAA